GCTCTGTCAGTTCATCAACCTCCAGCTCTATCTCAAAGAGTGTGTCAGTTAATGTAGTTAAAACATCAAGCGGAGAAGATATTTTTGATTTATTCAGCAAATACAACAAGGATGAACTATGTTCCTTCTTCCGTCAGAAACATTTAACAAATCTTGAAAAACTTTACTTGGCATATTTACAAAACAATTCTGATTCTGCTAGGGTTTGTGCTTATAAAAAGGGATTGTACGATTATTATACACAAAATAAATGCATCGATACCGATATTGTGGAATTGAACGACATCGTTAACTCTGTTAGATCAACAAGCTCTGTCAGTTCATCAACCTCCAGCTCTATCTCAAAGAGTGTGTCAGTTAATGTAGTTAAAACATCAAGCGGTGAAGATATTTTTGATTTATTCAACAAGTATAATAGACGTCAACTATGTTCATTCTTCCAAAAGAAGGGATTGAACGATTTGGAACAATTATATATCAGTTACATTAAAAATAACGATGAAGTAAGTAGATGCGCATTCCAAAATAGATTGTATCAATATTACAGTTATAATAATTGTATTGACAATGATATTCTTGAATTAAAAAAAATATCATCATCTAAACTTGGAATATCTGGTAAAGTGTCTTCTTTAAAGATGAAAAGAAAATTACTTAAATCTAAATCAAGCAGCAGTAGCAGTTCTAGTGAGAGCAATAGCAGCGAATAATCACTCTCATGTGTGATAAATTGTTATTGAGTTTTTAGCATTCTCAAAATTTTATTTGTTATTATAAATAAACTGATTTATATGTAAACCTGTAGTCTTGAATTAATTTCTACCCTATTTTATCTTATTAACACTATATCATCAGCAAGTAATATTCACAATGATATCTCTCTTTGTATTTTTCTCGTAATTTCATCCATCACTATAATAAATAAGTAATGTTTTAAAGCAGAACCTTGGTGCAATCTTACTCTTACCCTAAAATGTTTTTTTACTTTGCTCATACTTGTTACTCTGTCCTAATCATATATATCCTCTATCATCGTTCATTTTCCATGCAAAAAACTGACACGGCCCGCATCGCTTCGTTATACACGATGCCCCGCGACTCGNTGACACGGCCCGCGTCGCTTCGTTATACACGATGCCCCGCGACTCGTGCCACCTTTATCAGCCGTCGCCCTACTATGAGTATTTGACTGACCAACACCGCGTGTTATACGCTACGGTGCAAAGTCCAGCAAATGCCGCACGGCCGACGACGACCCGCCGCAAATGGTGCGAGAGTCTTCCTCCCGCTGTGAAAGCGACAACGTCGACAGCCGAACCGCACCCGCGCACCGTCGCCTACAACGCTGCTAACCATTTTGCCGTCCAAGGATTACGCCGAACATCGCGTCGTCGACGCCAGCGAAAGTGCCGCGATATTATGCGAAGATTATTATTACTGTGTTTATCTTTTCGGTTTGTTTTATTTTTGTTAACATAATCTGTTGTCGCTCATTTAATAAACGGCCCACGGGTCTCTACCCTCAAAACCAGTGTCGACCACATTTTTGCGACGCAAGTCGTGTCAAAACCAAACTCTTAAACTTCGTCTTACTTAATGCCCACTTGGCTTTTTTGCACAAGTGTTTATACATCATTCAAACTTCTCTTCTTTTACTCTTTAGCTATACTTTGAACTACTTTTTGTTACATTCTATAATTTTTTGAACGTCCTCATCCCATTAGGAGGTTTCCTAATTTCCTTGTTTCATTCTACTCCTAGTCTCACAAACAATCTCTTTTACAGTATTCTTGTCACAACTAGCAAATCTATTCTATACGTCATTTATGCCTGCCTTGACATTCCACACCGTCTTTAAAAACTATTATTCATGTCCCTCTTTATATTTCCCAACTACCGGATCCTCAATTTTTATATATTCTTTTCTCATTACACCATAACTTCATTACCAAAAGTCTATGTTGTGAAGTTACACTCTCGCTTGAGATAACTTTACAATCTTTTACTTTCTTCACACTCTCTCTCTCTTCCACATAAAATAATCAATCTGTGATTTATTACTCTCACTCTTAAAAGTTATATAATTTTCTTCAATCATTCTAAAATAAGTATTAACCACAGCAAGATCATACGATACTGTAAAGTCCTGGATTCTTTTATAAACTCTCCTCTCATTACCTAAATAATTTAATTTTTATATAAAACTAATTATATTGAGATTAAAACAAATGATAAAAAAATTGTGTAAAAAAAAATAATGTAAATTATTTTTAATTGCTCGACATGCTAAAGAAGTAGTAACTAACGAGATACTAGTTTACCTGATTATTATTATTAGTATTATTAGCTTTTGAGCATAAATGAATTTAATTAGTATTGGCCGATAATTATTTAAGAGTAATGTTTTAAGGAATTTTAACCATCGTAAGATAGAGGTTAATTTTAACATTTATACTGTTTAAAATGATTATTTTAAATGACACTGTTTATATATATATTATATACATTTAAATATGTCATTATTTTAAATAAATATTTAAATTTTTTTATATGATAATGCTGTTTTTCTAAATATGTAGTTATAAATTAAAACATATTTACAACGTTAATTGTACTGTATTGTAATCAAATAGCATTACATTATCTATAATGATTTTTAAGTATAATTACGAAACATAAAACAGAAATTCTTATTACTTTTTAAGAATAATTAATTATTAGTATATATATATATCATAGTGGTCCTTATTTAAAGAGGTCAAATTTTTTTGAGAAATTTGATAACGAGTACTCTAACTTTTGTTTTATATTTTAAGAAAATAATTTTGAGAAAGTTTGGTTGTGATAAGTCGACCTCTTTCTGTGCCAATCTATCAAAACTTAAACAGTGTTCCATCAATTAAATTTAAATTGTATAATTTGCACATTGGGATTCTTAAATCCTCTCTAATTTGTCTGGATCAGAAAATAGGGATCAATTACCGGTTATTATAACTGATCCCGACGTAGAACAACTTCATGGGGTACCAAATTTATCATCTGGGACTAGAAAAGTAATTTTATCTGCAGTGTATGACACGATAAATGAATGGAATATGTTAGTAAACGTCCAAGTATTTGTCTTTGACAGAACGGCTTCTAACAGTAGATATTCTAATAATGGAGCATGCATGCTACTGGAACAAATGCTAAACAAAATCAATACTTTTTTTTGCTTGTCAACACATATAGGAAATTATTTTTCAATCTGTTTTTCCCATACTCCAAACTAACAAAAATATTCGGTACCAAAATTCCTATTTTTAAGCGTTTCAAGAATGATTGAATGAGATAGACTAAACAAAATTTTGTACTTGAAAAAATATCATAGGGGTCAAAATAATATTGTAAAACGTAATTGATGAAGTTATAGTGTTTTATACATTAAACCAAAATCAACTTAAGGAAGATTATAAAGAATTTTTAGAATTAGTAATAAATTTTTTTTTTTTTTTGTGGGATACCACTTAAACACTAGATGGATTTGCATAAAATATATTGTTTGAAATTATTCACATTAAAAAAACAATCTTAAATGACAGTAACTAAGATTATATCATTAAGGTGATTTGCTGTTTTATTATCAAGTTATATATCAAATTTTCCTAATGCCATTGAAGCACCTTCTAATGGAGAGTTATTTTTAAAGATACTTGAAAACAAAAGGAACTTTTTTTAGTAAATATACATTTCTACAATAATGATTCAATACATTTTTATGTAACATTCATATTTAATTAAACACAAGAAAAATAAATGAAAATCCACTTCAACCCTTTTGAAGCACGGGAAGGGGTTAACTTATTACAATCAAATTTTCTGAAATTTATTTTCATAATACATAAAACAAAGTTTGAGGTACTCTTTATCAAATACTTTAGTTCAAAAAATGAGTACCAACCTGACATATATATATAAATTTTACTTCTACTTACGACGAAAACTCGTCATTACAATCATAATGATATTTTTAAATATTTACAATAATATTTAAAAAAAATTGTTTATATAATAAACACATATTTATTTATAATTCAATTTTTCGTTAATATAAACTACGGTATGGATCGGAAGGACATTTACACCTAAATCGATTAAATTATCCACACGACAACAATATCACTATTATTTTATTACTATACCTCAAAGTTATATACGGTAGACCTCACGCATATAGCTGTTGTCCAGAATGGTTTCTAGGGGCAACAAACCGATAACAGGACTGAGGTGGTACTGTGGTTAATATTTCTGATAACTATGCATTATTCTGTACTCATAAAATTCGAATACATCGTTATCACAAAATGAGTTAATCACAAGCAAATATATAATACAAAATATACGTTTAATTTTATATAATAATTCTGTTTTTGTAGTAACTTCTGCAAGAAATTATTAATATTCTCACGTTGAATCGTAATTAATTAAAATATATTTAATAAGTTTTTTTTATGAATTTTTAGACTGTTGAAAACTCAATTTTCTACAACACTAATGAAGTTGACTTGTGACAGGCCACTTAATTATTATGCTGCGTCAATCTAATTAAAACGTCAGGTAAATTATACATTTTTTTACAATTGTAATTTAAAATTTATAACACTAAACATAGTTTTAGAAAATAATATTACATAAACATTAAAATTGCGTTCTACAGTTATTTATGAGTTTATTACGATGAACTTCACAATTTTATATTTTTTAAATGTCAGATTGAAGTTTTTTACTTAATTTACATAAATATTTGCAAAGTAATCAATTCTTTGTTAATTTCACTCAAAATGTTTACTTTTAGATAATATTTTAATTATTTTTCGTTAATTCATGTGATAGGGCAAATGTTTATGTAATTTAAATTAAATAATACACTAGTAAAAACATTAATTTTAGAATTACAACTTTTAAATGGATTACGCTGAGGCAGAGANCGTAATTAATTAAAATATATTTAATAAGTTTTTTTTATGAATTTTTAGACTGTTGAAAACTCAATTTTCTACAACACTAATGAGGTTGACTTGTGACAGGCCACTTAATTATTATGCTGCGTCAATCTAATTAAAACGTCAGGTAAATTATACATTTTTTTACAATTGTAATTTAAAATTTATAACACTAAACATAGTTTTAGAAAATAATATTACATAAACATTAAAATTGCGTTCTACAGTTATTTATGAGTTTATTACGATGAACTTCACAATTTTATATTTTTNATTAAAATTGCGTTCTACAGTTATTTATGAGTTTATTACGATGAACTTCACAATTTTACATTTTTTAAATGTCAGATTGAAGTTTTTTACTTAATTTACATAAATATTTGCAAAGTAATCAATTCTTTGTTAATTTCACTCAAAATTTTTACTTTTAGATAATATTTTAATTATTTTTCGTTATTCACGTGATAGGGCAAATGTTTATGCAATTTAAATTAAATAATACACTAGTAAAAACATTAATTTTAGAATTACAACTTTTAAATGGATTACGCTGAGGCAGAGGAAATGAGAAATATATTCCCCATGGGATCAGTTGCTACTCAAAATAATATAGTAGCTGACTTAAGTTAAATTTTTATCAGTTTAATTTAGTTTCCTAACTAAATTTTTGTTTTTTTTAGCTTCGATGCAAAGCGGAGAAGGTATTAATTTTACTATGATGTGTTTTTTTTATTTTTATTTTTATTTTTTTTTTTTATGTCTGTCGCCACTTTTTCTCAGCANTATGAGTTTATTACGATGAACTTCACAATTTTACATTTTTTAAATGTCAGATTGAAGTTTTTTACTTAATTTACATAAATATTTGCAAAGTAATCAATTCTTTGTTAATTTCACTCAAAATTTTTACTTTTAGATAATATTTTAATTATTTTTCGTTATTCACGTGATAGGGCAAATGTTTATGCAATTTAAATTAAATAATACACTAGTAAAAACATTAATTTTAGAATTACAACTTTTAAATGGATTACGCTGAGGCAGAGGAAATGAGAAATATATTCCCCATGGGATCAGTTGCTACTCAAAATAATATAGTAGCTGACTTAAGTTAAATTTTTATCAGTTTAATTTAGTTTCCTAACTAAATTTTTGTTTTTTTTAGCTTCGATGCAAAGCGGAGAAGGTATTAATTTTACTATGATGTGTTTTTTTTATTTTTATTTTTATTTTTTTTTTTTATGTCTGTCGCCACTTTTTCTCAGCACTCACTGNTTTTTTTTTTATGTCTGTTGCCACTTTTTCTCAGCTCTCACTGGACCGATTTCTTTCAAAAATACGTCAAAATATCACAAATCGTATCTAGTTGAAGACATTACCCTTAAAAATTGAAAAAAATTCCCTCGTTCTCCACAAATATCCAAAAAAATTACAAATTTAAATATCGCTAATTTTCGAAATTTTTTCACTTTTTTTTCTTAAAACTTCCATAACTTTTAGAAAAATCAACAAATCTACATCNAGAAATATATTCCCCATGGGATCAGTTGCTACTCAAAATAATATAGTAGCTGACTTAAGTTAAATTTTTATCAGTTTAATTTAGTTTCCTAACTAAATTTTTGTTTTTTTTTTTCATCAATTACGCCATATTATCGTTTAATGCCTTTAATTAATAGACAATAATATGTATAAATAGAACTGCATATTTTATACATGATGTGNTTTTGAAAATGTTCCGGAAATACTGCGTCCTTTAAACATATATCAAATTAAAGCTTATTTTATGTACTACAAAATGAAAAAAAAAATTTATCCCGACGACCTATCTTCTATACGCAAATGGCTACCGTATTCAAAAATATGGTATTTTTCTATGAAAATTATGGGTTTTGTATTTTATTTTAATAGAAATTGATGTTGCTTTTGCAATTATCCATCAATTTTTTAAAATTAAACACTATCTACAGATTTGCATCGAAGCGTTTCTTATGATAGTGATTTTAATCACTGTCAGATTAAATCTATACTGGACCCAACTATGCAATGTCTCCACTATGCCGCGACCCCACTGTGCTACCGTTTTTATTTTTCATCAATTACGCCATATTATCGTTTAATGCCTTTAATTAATAGACAATAATATGTATAAATAGAACTGCATATTTTATACATGATGTGAATAAAATAACTTAATATTTAGTTAGACCTGGTAGTATTGATAAATATAATATATCTATGAATTTGGTATCATAGTTTACCCCCGAATTCACCCTAAAACTATAACCTCAATAATAGCACATTACACATAAAAATTTTAAAATGTGTGTATTTGTAAGTGTGATTAGGGACTTAGCAGTTTTGACTAGTTCAGACTTGACTTTTAATGTACATATTAACCTTATATATAACAAAGATTTGAGAGGCTTATGATTTTTAAAGGAAAATTTTTGGGAGTTATCCACTATTCTTTATTTATAAGTCTTATACAAAATAGATTGATTAACTTCGTCTCACGATAAATCTTTAAAAATATAAAAAATATCATAATTTTTCATTATTAGAAATTAATAGTTCCTATGTTTTTTAATTAAAAAAAAAAAAATTGTTCTCTCTCCTTTAAAGTAGTATCAACTTAAGTTTTTTTATGGAAACATATATGTTTAATTAACTTAAAAATAAAAAAATGACAATTCGATAACAACTTTAGAAGCAGTTATTGAAAAGATAAAACATTTTTATACTATAGTGAAAAGAGTATTGTGATTTATATATGATTCGAGATAAAAATAAACAGACCCGGTTTATATTTTTCTTATATTATTGTATGTTAAATCTTTTACTTATCTTTAAGCTATTTAAATATATGTGTCCATTTAAAAAAACTTAAGTCGATACTACTTTTAAAGGACAAAAAGGAGAGAGAGAACCCACTTTTAATTTTTATTTTTTACTAATAAATTTTACTTACTCAAACATGATATCCCGGGTATCCTGTGTAGTATTTATTAAGGCGAGCAAACTTATTGTTTTTATATTAAACACATTTGAAAAAAATCTGATGACTAAAAATAAGTTTATAGGAAAGCATATTTTGGTAATATTCTCTTATTTAACATTTGCACACTATTGCATACAAATATGATGTTGAAAATTTAACACTAAGTTAACCTTTCGTACTAATATTTCTTCAGTAGTTTAACATATATTAATTAAAATAAACATCAAATTTTTGTATTCCATATAATAAATTAAAAATAATTTCAGTAATTGAATTAATTTAAAATAGTATCACACACTTAAATCATAATTATTGAAACTTGAAACAAAATTCTTCTAGTAATGTAAAAAAATATGCACGAAAAATGTTTGTTTTTTTAAATTTTTAAGTTGTAACAGTTTTAATCTAGGTGTGCAATTTGATATTTGATTTATAACTCAATTGTAATTTATAATTTATAGAAGTTTGTACAATTTTTATAAGGACAAGTCAATGGAATTAAAAGTGCTTAATTCCAATCAAAACGGAACATTATTGATATTGCCTGACATAAGCCAATCATATCGATTACCAGCGAGCTTCTCTGCTGTGTATCTAACCTTGTCTTCCATGGCTTTTGTGTCAAATTTAATGGTACTCAGTGGTATACTAACTAGTGATAGACTGCGGTCTTCATACGCCGTACTCGTGTCTGCTCTATGCCTTCAATGTGCTTTGGATAGTGCTGTTAGCCATTTTTTGGTTTCCAAAGAACTTTTGACACTTGAAAGGACGCCAGAAACAATAACAACTTCATCTATAACGGATAATTCGTTTGCAGCAACATGCCGTGTTATCGCAACAATTACTTCAGCACTGTCTACGGTAGAACTTATTACGTTTGCAACTCTAACTTGTTTAAACACATTTGCTCGAACAAATTATATTTTACCATTGCCAGCTGCTGCAGTTCTATGGGCTGTCCCTTCTATGTACACTTACGTCATACTTACACCAACCTTATTATTTTCTACTAGATACTTTTCATATAGGTAAATATTTCAACTTTTCTTATTTTATTTATTTTATTTCCACTATAAAATCTTACTAATTAAAAAAAGACAGTAACATCAACAGTGAATGTACAATTGAGAGATATATTTATCTCTTAAAGTTCTTTGTCCATTAATATTTAGATGCTACTCGCATAATAGTATTACACGTTGGTTTTTTGAAAAATCATATATAATAATTATTCAAAAATATTCATAACAAATATACTCAAACATTCTAATTAATTATTATAAGTGGGAAACCAGAATTTTCCATCGGATGAACGGTTAATAATATTCTATCAAATCTATGTATTGCAATAGAAGTAAATATACATTCATTTTAGCTTCGATGCAAAGCTGAGAAGGAATTATTTTTACTATGATGTTTTTTTTTTTTTGTGTCTGTTACCACTTTTTCTCAGATTTCACCGAACCGATTTCTTTCAACGATACGTCAAACGATCACAAATCGTATCTAGTCGAAGACATTAACCTCAATCATTGAAAAAATTTCCTTCATTCCTCGTCAACGGGGAAAATCTCCAAAAAGATTACAAAAATAAAAATCGCTACTTTTCGACATTTTTTCAATTTTTTTTACTTAAAATTACCATAACTTTTTTAAATATGACAAAATTGATATAATTTTTTTTTTTTATAGATGCATAATATCTTTACCTATCATTTAATATATTTTTTTTATAATTTTTACCCTTTACCTGCCCACGGGGGATTCAAAATTTCACAAATAATTAACTTTTTCAACTTGACCTTTAAAAGTGTTTCGGAAACTCTGACACTTTTATATATATCTTCAATTAAAGCTAATGTAATGTTTCAGACTTTATTTTGTCTTCACGGTAAAAATGGCTACCGAATGCTATATTCGTATGAAAATTCTCGATTTTATATTTTACATATTAAAATTTATATTTATAAAACTTTTTGAAAAATGTATGGATCAATACAATTTTTTTATGCGAAGTAGTATTTATATACATCTTTCATTTGATATACTTTTNTTTTATGCGAAGTAGTATTTATATACATCTTTTATTTGATATACTTTTTTTTAAATCGGACTATTTCCCTTTATACGGGGGGTAGTTTAAATCTTAAAAATTCATATAGAAATTAGAAAGTTTTCAACCTAATTTTTGAAAGTGTTTCGAAAATACTGACACGTTTATATATATCTTAGATTAAAGCTTATGTAATATACTTTAATATACTTCAATCAAAGTTATCAACATCAAACATCAAAGTTATTAAAAAAATAAGATTTTTGTAAAAAAAATTCTTTTTTAATTTTTAATTTTATAATGCTATAATTTTTTGAAAAATATGTGGATTAATACAATTTTTTTATGATAAATATTATTTATAAACTTCTTTCATTCAGTATACTTTTTTTTTAAATAAAATCATTTCCCTTTATATATTTATATATTATAAATATATACACTTATAAATCATAAAACTTGTATCAGGATATAAATAAGGAAATAGGAGATCATGTAGCTCTTGGAATAATCCAACAATTTTTTTAAAATAAACACTTTCTACAAATTTGCATCGAAGCGTTTTTTATGATAGTGATTTTAATCACTGTCAGATATCATTATACTTGACCCAACAATGTCACGTCATCATTGTGCCGCGGCACCCCTGTGCTAGATTTTTTAATATAAATACAATTTTTCACAAACAGATTACACAATTTTTTTATTTATCAACTTGGCGATTTTCATTCACTGATGATGTTATCCTATACAGGGTGATTGGCTAACTATGTCTCACGTAATATCTTTA